AGACGTGTTCACTGGCTGTAGAACTCATTCATCATAGCTGAAATTATTCACTAGTTCAAACCCTGTAACTGTGTATTCAGATATGTTGAGAGTGCATTTGAGCAAATACACAAAGCTTAAAGAATTATCTTTATGTCATTTCTGATTGTCAAGCAGAGGCCACCTCAGATTAATGGAAAATAATTTAGTTATTTGTATTTATTTATAAGTATACTTATCAATTGCTCCCCACAAAAGGATCTGAATTAAAATATAATTTAGTTAATTCCTTAAAAAAATAAAAAAAATAATCTCATTTTACTTATTTCCACAATCAGTGCCCATGGAAGCAGCAGTCAAGAAATGAAATGTTATATTGCATTTGGCAAATCTGCTGCAAAAGACTTCTTTAAAGTGTTGAAGAGCAAAGATGTCTCCTTGAACACTAAGGTGTGCCTAACCCAAGCCATGGTATTTTCAGTCGCCTCTTATGGATATGAGAGCTGGACAATGAACAAGGAAGACCAAAGAAGAGTTGATGCTTTTGAGTTGCGGTGCTGGTGAAGAATGCTGAGAGCACCATGGACTGCCAGACCAAACAACAAATCTGTTCTGGAAGAAGTGCAGCCCGAATGCTTCTAGGAAGCAAGAATGGCCAGACTTCGTCTGACCTACTTTGGTCACGTTGTCAGAAAGGACCATTCCCTGGAGAAGGGTATCAGGTTTGGTAATGTGGAGGGTCGTGAACAAGGAGAAAGCCCTGTTGGACATAGTGGCTGCAATGAAGGGCTCAAGCATAGCAATAATTGTGCGGATGGTGCAGGACCCGGCTGTGTTTCGTTCTGTTACACACACGGTCACTAGGAGTAGTAGCCAACGCGACAGTACCTAACAGCAACGTTACTGTTGTGTTTTTATTTCACTAGTTTACATCCTGATCCTTCCTTCCTTCTGCTTTATTTGGGTTTCTTTTGCTCTTTCTGTAGTTTCTTAAGGTGGAAATTGACATCATTGGTTTGCAATCTTTCTTCTTTTCTGATATAGGAAATTAGTTACAAATATCTCCCTAAAAAAATTAGTTTTTACAGGCAGCTAAAAATTATTAAATGTTGTATTTTCATTTTGATTCATTCCAAATTAGCTCTGATTTTTTGTTTCTACTCTTCTTTGACCCCTGGGTTATTTGAACCAAAAAGACCAGTGCCAGGGAGTCGATTCTGACTCATAGTGACCCTATAGGACCGAGTGGAACTGCCCTTTTTTGATAGTTTCTTCTGCTATGTCTTCAAGTGCTTAATCTTTTCTTTCGCATTATCCAATCTGCTATTAATCCAATCCACTGTACTTTTCATCTCCAGACCAAAAACACCTTTGCCTTTGGGTCTGACTCATAATAACCCTATAGTGCTGTTGTTATGTGCTGTCAAGTTGGACCCGACTCATAGAGACCCCTCCTTGGGTTTCCGAGGCAATATCACTACAGAAGTCAATTGCCCAAACTTCTTTCTGAGGAGTGGCTGGTGGGTTTGAACTGCCAGCCTTGCGGTTAGCAGTCAAGTGCCTTAGGCACTGCGCCACCAGAGCTCCAACAACCCTGTACAGCAAAGCAGAGCTGTTCCATGCAGCTTCCAAGGCTGCAACCTTTGCAGAGTGCATTCCACATCCTCGGCTGCTGGCTTAGCAACCAGGCGCTTAACCACTGTGCACCAGGGACTGGACTGGGTTAACATACCCTTTACTTTGCTTTTAACGTCTGGATGGGGCTTGGGGGGGGGGGCGCCTGCTCCCGCTGGAAAGTGGCTCCTGAGGGACCTGGAAGAGCAGGGTGGGGACTTACTCTCGAGAGGTGCCCTGAAGACCTCTCTCCTGCCTTCACCCTGGGGAGCCGGGCACCCTCCTCAGAGTCCACTTCAGAGCCCTGCTGGTTAGCAGCTGAGTGCTTTAACCACAGTGCCAGCTGGGCTCCTTACTTTTCATCTTGGACTTGTAATTCTTAGAAGTTGGATTGGGTTCTTTTTTCATATGTTCCTGTCTGTAGTTATGTTTTTGAACACATTTCACACAGTTATAATAAATGTTTCCATGTCTTCATCTGCTGATTCTAACATCTGTGTTAGTGCTGGCTCAGTTTTGATTACTTGATTTTTGCTCATTATCGATTGTTTCGCTCATTCTTTGTGTGGCTTTAAACTCCTCATTACATGGCAGCCATTGTGAATTTCTCCTTCCTGGGTGCAGATCCATGTTTATTCCTACAAATACTCCTCAGCTTTGCTCTGGAACACAGTCACGTGACTTGGAAGCAGCTGCAATTTGGGGGTCTTGCTTTTAAGGTCTGTTGCGCAGGACCAGAGCAGTGTTCAGTCTAGGGCTAACTGTCTCCCCCTTCTGCGCCATGGTCTGTGCCCACGGCCCCCAGTGCCCCGTGAGCCGCTGAGGCAGCGGGTTTTCCGGGGCAGGTACCATTTCCTCTGGGCTGTGCAGGTTCTTTCCACACCACTGGGAGTTTCTTCACATACCTGTGCTGACCAGTGTTGCTAGGTACCGTCAAGTCAGCTCAACTCACAGCAATCCCACGTGAGACAGAACAAAGGGCCGTCCGGTCGGGCGCCAGCCTCAGCGCTGCTGTGTGTGAGCCCCCCGCTGCAGCCCCCATGTCCAGCCGTCTTGCTGAGGGTCTTCCTCTTGTTCACTGACCCTTCACTTTACGTGGTGTCCTTCTCCAGGCTCTGGTCCCTCCTGATAATATATCCAAGTAAGTGGCACGGCGTCTTCCATCCTCACTTCTAGGAGCGTTCTGGTGGCGTGTGCTCCAGGACAGGTTGGTTCCTTGTCCTGGCGACCATGGTACATTCGGTGTCTGGCCTGCTGATATCCGAGGAGGACTCACTGAGCCCCCCAAGGTCTTTCTCCTCTCTCCCTTCTCTCTCCTGCTCCGTCCTCACTTCACGTCAGGCCAAGCTGCCCTGCAGGTGCTTGGTCTGGCCACAGCCACCTGGACCATGAGCAAAGCTCCTGAGGACATTGTACAAGCGTGAATCCGGCCACTTAGTGTGGACAGGCCCACGGACTGCAGTGACCTTGGGGCACACGTCCAAGGTCATGTCTAGGACGTCTCCAGCAGGGCTTTTTCTGCTGCTTGGATTTGAACAGGAACGATGGGCCCCTCTGCCCTCTGCTGGCCAGGTGGGGCTGCAGCTCCTGGAACTCAGACCCAGAATTACAAACAAGCTTCCCAACCTGGCCCCATGTCTGGTGACCAAGAGGCAATTCTAAGCATGGCTCAGAGGTGGGTCTGCCACTCCCCATGGGGCTAGCTCCTGTGCTGGGCTGAGGCAGTGAGGAGCACAGGACCCCTTCACTGCCAGTGCGGCACCCTGGGCCCACACACACACCCCTGGGCGCCACTGTGACACTCATCCTCCCTCTCTCCTCCCCAGAAAACATTTTCAACAGCTTCTGCCGGACCCTTCCCGTGTCCATGTCTGAGTCCATCCTGGAGGCCCTGCAGCTCTCCACAGCCATGAAGTGTGACCCCCGAGAAGGCTGCTCCCTGCACCTCCGCGTGCACGTCTCTCTCACGCTGCATGGTGAGGGAGCTGGGAGCCGAACCTGGCCAGAGGCTGAACCTAGTGTAGACAGTGTTGTTGTTATTTTATGTGCCGTCTAGTCGGACCCGACTCATAGCGACCCCTCCTTGGGTTTCCAAGGCAGTATCACTACGGAAGTGGATTGTCCCATGTGTGGCCGTGGGCCGGGGCTCTGTTAGGCCTCACCATGACCTGCAGGGGGTGGGGGATAGCTCTTGCTAACTTCACAGGGGCCACATAGCCATCATGGGGGCCTGGACTGACCCCTGCCCTGGCCATCACCCTGCCCACCCTCCCTTCACCCCAGAGGGCCTGTGGGGCCTGGAGGTCTGCACCATGAGCCTGGACACCCAGGAGGTACGGTGTCAGGGGGTACGGGTGACCCGAACCTCCCGCCGACTTCACATGGGGCAGCAGGTGAGGCAAAGGCTGGGGCTGGTGCACCACCAGGGCCCGGCCCACCCAGAAACCCAGCTCCCAGGCCTTTGGCTGGGAGCAGCTGTTGTGCCCTGTCCCAGATATGGCTGGCCCCTCCCAGTCCAAGCCCCGCCCTGGCCACCCATCCTGGGTCCCTGCTACCCTCCTCCTCAGACCTGTACAAGGAGCCCCACCGAGGCTCCAGCCAGTTGAGGGCTGATTCAGGGCAGGTGGGCAGCTGTCCAGCTCTGCCCCAGCTGCAGGTGAGCTTGGACTGCTTCGAGGTGAGCGTGGGCCAGCACCTCCATGTCACTCTGAGGACCATCCCCCACTTCTGTGGGCTCCAGTTGGATCAGCAGTACCAAGTGGAAGGTGGGAGCCCCATGAGGCCAGCCTGGTCACAGCTGCCACCTGGCCTCTAGGGACTGGCTTGGTGGGGCTTGTCCAGGCCTGGGTGGGGCAGGGCAAGGAGATAGGGCAGGTTGTGGAGGGGTGAGCGAGGGGCAGAGAAGGGATCTAGGAAGGACCAGGGCAGGGCCACGTGCTACATAGCTCCCAACTGCCCATTTGGCTTAATTTGGTTGATGGCCTCCCTGGAGAAGAGGGGGTTTCAGAGGCCTAGAGAGCAGAAGCCCAGCTAGGGCCCAGGAGGCCAGCCCATCAGCCTCTGGCATTTGCAGACTGCACAGATGAAGACGTGGGGAGGAACATGCGGTACTGCTTGCGTGAGTCTCCCCAAGCCCCCCTCTTCTGTCCCTGAGACAGCCACCTGTCCAGGTCTGTGTGGCCTCTCTGCTGGGTCCCCAGGTGGGTGACTCCCAATGCCTGGGCCAAGTGGCAGTCACCACCTCCGAGCTCTCTGGACAGATGCAGCATGTCCATGACCCCTGTGCCCGTGAGCTGGCGACCCGGTACTGCCGGCTCTGACCCCACCGCCACCCCACTTGCCACCCTCACAGCCGGGAAGCTCACCTACCAGGTGAACCGCAGCCGCAAGGCCATTCTGGTGCAGGCACAGGGTGCCCTGGGCAGCCACGACTACTACGTACGACTCTGTCTCAGGCGGCTCTCCTGTGAGGAAGCTGGGCCCCTGGTTCAGGTGAGAGACCCCTCCGCACTCCCACCCTGCACTACGCCCACCCATCTGGACCTAGGCCCCTCAGCCCCTCCCCTCACTGCAGGTGACTGCCAACGGCGTGTCTCAAACTGTCTCGCTGTCCTACAACAAAGAACTGCCCTGTCTGTGCCTGGAGGTCAGCAAGGGCAGCCCGGACTGCAGGGGATGGGGGCAGCAGGGAGGGGGGACAGCGGGGGGCAGCGGGGGGGCAGCAGGGAGGGACAGTGGGAGGGCAGGGGGGCTCACTGGCCCCGCCCCCTCCACAGGGCTGGCCTTCAACCCTGGACGCAGTGCGCATCCAGACCTGCCCCTTTGAAGATGGCGAGTCCCTAGGGCCCCCAGGACCTTCCTCCTGACCCCCTCTGGTCCCTGGCAGCCTGGAGGGGGGTGCCTCAGGAGGGGCTGGGTGAGGACGAGGAGGAGGGAACAGCAGCAGGCCTGGCCCAGTTGGGAGGGTCCAGCCTCAGTCCGAGTCTGCTCTGGGGGCAGGTAGGCCAAGGGCCAGCCTGGCCACCCCTCCCCACGTGGCAGAATCCACATGGCTGTATTCGGGGACCAGTGCTCATGCAGGTGGTGACCTGCCTCGGCCCCAACCCCACATTCGTCCATGCGGGCTGGTGCCAGGGCTCTGGGGCCCACAGGGGAACTGCCCGCATCCCACCGGGGCCCCAGGGTGGTCAGCGAGCCCTGTGGGTGTACCCAGGACAACCGCTGAGCCTCGGGCGCTAACCGCTGGGGGCGGCCCCTGCAGACGTCGAGGTGCTGTGGGACGCCGTCCACTACCACCCGGGCAGCCAGGAGCTGAGTTGGGAGCCCCCCTGTCCGGTGAGCGGCCGCGTGAGCCTGTGCTGGCGCGCGGGGCCCCAGGACGCCTGTCGTGCGCTGGAGCGCTCCGGCCGCCCGATGCGCCGCAAGGTGAGTGGCCTGAGGGGGTGGGGCCCGGGGCACGGCCGCACCCTGACCTGAGCGCCCTGCAGGTGCGCTACCCGCTGGTGGACACGCAGCCCCAGCTCTGCCTGCAGGTGAGTGGGCCCAGCAGCCGCCACTGCCGTCGCCCGGGACGGGGGGCGGCCACCAAGGGAGGCCGGTGCAGGGCAGGGACCCCAGCCCCAGCTGCCCGCTACCCTCGGCTCCCCTCCGGGTCTGACGGTGGGCGGAGCCGAGGGCCCCGCCCCCAGCTCGCAGGGCGCCCTCGGGCCCAGGGAGCCCCTCTGTCTGCAGTTCTCCACCCGCAGGGGCGTCTGGGTTCGGTGCCCCTTCGCGCAGCGCCGCTTCCCAGGTGAGCTCACCTGGGGCACAGGCAGGGACTCCTGGGCCTGCGGTGCAGACCAGCGAGTGGCAGCACCCTGTACCGTGTAGACAGTCCGTGGTCAGGGCCTCCTCCTGAGCCTGGGAGGAGGGGGGGCAGGGGGGGTGGCCCCGTGGGGGAGGACAGAGGAGGGGACGCAGGGTGCCGGCCTAGTGGAGGGCCAGCTACGGGGGCGTCCGAAGCCGCTGCTGCGTGGTGGGGTGGGGCAGGCTGCTAGCCCATTGGGGGCCTCAGCACCTCCGCCCACCCAGCAGCCTGGAAGATGACGGTGCAGCCGGCCCCCGCGCAGGGCCTCCTCCGCGCCTCCTTTTTCTCCCCGAGCCCTGCCAGCTTCCAGGTGCGCCTGTGTCGACGCCGCAAGGCCCTGCTTCGCGCCTGCCACCGGACGCTGGAGACCACGCCCCTCCCTGCAGCCTCAGTGAGCCTGGCGGGGGGCCCCCGGCTCCGAGGCTGCCTCTCCGCATGCTCCCTCCGCCGCCCTGGGGGCGCAGGGCGTGCGTGTGACACGTATGTGCGCGTGGGAGGCCGGGAAGTGCCGACTGCTCTCTGAGCCGCCCCTCCCCCCCAGCGGGACCCCTCCGCGGAGCCCGCCGCCTTCGTGGACATTCCCCAGGCCGAGGCCTGCGCCCGCAGCATCTGCATCCAGGTGGGTGGTGCTGCCGCACACAGGGCCCCTTCCAGGGCAGACCTCGGTATCCCCGGCATCCCCAGTACCTGCAGCCCTTCCAGGAGGCCGCGGGGGACGTGGGGCTGGGTTCGGGGAGTGGTGGGGTGCTGACCTTCCGCCCGGCGCCTGCAGGGCTGGAGAACCGACCTGCACTTCTCTGTCCCCCAGCAGCTGTGCGACGTCCCGTGCGGTGAGCGCCCAGCGGGTCTGAGCTGAGGGGAGGGTGCGGACCGGCTCCGAGGAGCTGGGCTGCTGGGAGGCGTGGCCTGCCCTGCAGGGAGACTGGGGGTGGCCAGGTCGGGCTTCCAGGGGCTTCACCTCTGCTGCCTCGGGGCCCTGCCAGCCCGCCCTGACTTGGCAGGCAGGACCCCTCCCGAGGTCCCCATGAGCAGGCCATCCGGGCAGGTCTGAGGGCTTGGTCCTCCCCGGTGCACCCGCCTCCCTGACCCAGGGGCTCTGGTTCCAACTCTCCAGTGACTCAGGATGTCCCTTGGCCAGTCCTCGCCCACCAGATTCCCGGGGCCCCCTCTGGCCACCAGGACAGGCTCTACCCAGTGGACAGGGCTAACCTTTCCGCTCCTGGGTGTGGTCCAAGATTGAGGCCTCTGGTTCAGGGCCCTGAAGAGGCCCCTAGTGGTGTCTCAGGGAACAGGTGCTAGATCTGCCCGTTCAAAAGCTGCATGATGGAGAATGGTTGCAGGAGGCGGTAGGTGGTGGGCAGGCGACCTGTGACCCTTCACAGGGAGCCCCGAGCGGGTGGAGGGTTTCCCCAGCTCATCTGGGTCACAGTAGTTCCTGCCACCCACGAGGAGCTGCCCCAGGGCCTGCAGAGGGACATGAGGGTCTGCGTCCCCCATCACCCCTCCCACAGCAGGCCCAGGCTGGATCACCTTCACCAGACGACAGGCCATAAGGGTTGCTTTCCCTGGAGGCCTGGTGTTTAGAGGTGACCCTTGGGACTGCTCAAGCCACACCTTTCCCTAGCTGTCACCTGCAAAACCACAGCCTGAGTCCCTGTGTCTCAGAACAAGCAGGTGCCAGGCCCAGAGTATGGTGCGGACCCCATAGTCTCTGACAATTAAGGCAGTCCTTCTCCCACCCCCATCCCTCAGAGTGTGGTTGGGGGTTCTCACCTGACCCAGGTGCCTTCCAACAATCCAGAGAGCCCCAGGGGCCTGGCCAGGGGCTTCAGGGTCAGTCCCCTAATGCTTGGCCCTGCCCCACCCTGTCTCTACTTGGTCACAGTCTCCCTGGGCCCCTTGGACAACCATGGACACAGCCACTATCACTGGCCCTGAGGACTTGGGCCTGGCCTCCTGCCACCAACTTCCCAGAGCACTCCCAGGGCCCTGAGGGGCTGGGTGCCCCCCTTTCCACAGCTGAAGGGCCAGTCCCATGGGGGATGACCAAGGACCACCTCCAGCTTCTGCCCTGGGTACCCCACACTGGGTCAGGGTCCACACCACTTGGTGTGGCCCTGCAGACTCAGGGCCCCCAGCCCCCTACCCTGCCCACCCGTCAAGGGTGGACCACTTCCCCTAGCTCAGAGTCACCTGCCCAGAGGCCACCTGCAAGATGTAACGCACTGATATGTTTCACACTCTGGAAGGCCACCATGTGCTGCCCAAGCTTGAGGACCACAGTGACCCTCATCTCTGCAGAGGCACACAGCAGCTCCAGCAAGAGGTCATCAGCTGAGGGCTGCCGACTCCCACGGACCCAAGAGGTGACCCTGCACTGCCCTCTGGAGTTGTCTTCACTTGACCACTGGGCAGCCGGGGACATGCACACCCAGTGTCCCCAACCCTTCCCGTCTTGCCCCCTGGACTGTGAGCAAAGTGTGCCCCCGCTTTCCTCCCTCCGGGCCCTCACCCTGGCTGCCCCCCTTCAGCCAGCCACAGTCGCTCGGGCCTTTCCGTCCCCTCCGCCCACAGTAGGGGGTGTTGTCCATGGAGAACTGTGCAGCCGGGGACCATGGGGGAAGGTGTCACATACGTCCTACTCAGTAAACACCTGGGCACCACCCGGGCGCCGGCTTTTTCCCTTGAGGACATAGTGGGGTCAGAGGGAAAGGTTGTCCCTGGGGGTGGGATGAGGGGGAGAATCACAGGGCAGTGTACCTGGGAAAACAGGGTCCAGAGACACCATCCTGAGGGACCCTCCAAAGCAGGAGTCAGGGAACGTGAAGCTGTACTGGGCCATTGGTCACCAAACACAGCCATGGAGGGGGGCGGCTGTGAGGTGGGATAGGGATGTGGGAGGAGCCTGCCCCCCGTCGCTTGCAAAGCCCGGTCCAGATGGACCCACACACATCAGAAAGCCTCGGGACACAGATACCTCTGACTGCCCTCTCCCATGTGCGTTTGGGGGGTCTGCCACCCCACCCTGCCCAGTGATCCCTCAGAAACCCTGACTCTCACATGGAGCAGGAGAGCCCCTGAGGCTTGGCATGGGTTTGGGACCAGAATGTCATTCTAGGTGAGGACCTTCAGGTGGCTGGGACCCAGTCGGGCCCCAGTCACCCTCCTCCAGTGGTGAATCCCGAGCCTAGCTGAGGCAGGCAGGGTCCGGGTTCACCCTGGCATGCACCACGAAGTTGCCGGGACAGACTTGGGGACCCCTCGGGTCAGTGTGCACCCTCGTCCAAGTGTTCCCATAAAGAACCCGGAAGGGATGGTCTCCCTGGGGCGCTGAGCCCTGTCTGACCAGGCTGGAACATCAAAGGGCAGGTTTGGGGACCCAGAGCAGATACGGGGGAGGTACCCCGGGGGCTCTGGGGCTCCAGCCACCACCTGGGCCAGGGTCGTGGGGGCCGCTGCCCTTTGCCCTCACCTGACCTTCTTCATCCCAGGGCAAGGCGGACAGGGACTCTCTGGAGACCTCCATCCATGCCTGGTGCCCCCTCCCCATTGAGGCATGGGATACAGGGACTAGAGTCTTGTCTCAGGCTGGGCCACGCCCACCCCAGGTCCTGGTACCCACTTGTGGTTCTTAGCAGACCTGGCCCGGTGTTGCTCAGGTGGGGCTGAAGCCATGACTGTGCTCCCCTCCAGGCCTAAGGACGTCGGTTTGGGTGGTGAGAGGTGCAGCAGCTAGGACAAGCGTGTGCTGCCACCAGGTGGCGGTGGCGCTCAGTGCCGAGCCCGGAGATGGACCGAGGGCTGGGTCTGTCCATGTCAGGGCCCTGGAGCTGCCCAAGTAGTCCCAGGGCTCAACGGGCCACTGCCGGGGCTGTTATAGACCGACTCCCACCCCTCAAGAAACGCTCCCAACCTCAGGCCATGTCTGCATGGGCACAAAGTGCCAGTGATGTTGATGCGGCTCCAGGACCGTGAGGTAGGAGGCTGGTCGCCGACAGCGGGGACAGACGGGCCTGGTTCACGGTTTAGCCGCCTCATTCGTTCATTCATCAAACACGTGCTGAGCTCACTACCCAGCGGGGGAACAAAGCATGCTGACATGTGGCCTGTCCCTGAAGTTAGAGGGACTCACTGTTGGGTGTGCCCAGGACTGAGGGGCTTCATGGCATGCGGCTTCTCAGGGCTCACCGAGACTGTCCCAAGGAAGAGGTGGGGGACACTGCTGGGGAAAATATCCCATCATTTCCTGCCAACCCAGCAAACCTCTCCCCAAAGTAGAAAAGAACTATGATCAGTGCCTAAGTTTCAGAGCCGACTGCCGTGCGCAGAGCACACAGACGGACAGAACCTCATCTCTGCAGCCCGGCCAACGTGACCCGTCACACACGTCCTCAAGTGAGAGGCCCACATGTCGTTGGAACATACCTCGTGGTGGGGTGGCCCTCTGTGTCAGCCTTGATCCCAAGAAGAAATAAAACCTTCAGGGCAAAGGGAAGTGTCTGCCGAGGCCCTGGAGTGGGGCCTGCTGGGAGGGCCGGAGAGCAGCCAGGAGATCGGTGCAGCTGGAGCTGAGTGGGTGAATGGCGGAGAGGTGGGGGCTGGAGGAGCCACGTGACCCCAATGCTGCCCTTGAGAACAGGGGACAGGGAAAGGGCCAGGATGGTGGCCCAGAAGTAGTAAGAAGTGGTGAGCGTGTCATGTCTTTGGAAGTTACCCCCCCCCCAAAAAAAAAAAAACCAAAGTCACTGCCATTGAGTTAGGTCTGACTCATAGCAACCCCTCTTTGGGTTTCCGAGGCACTATGGTAGCATAGTGCCTAAGGCACTTGACTGCTAACCAGGAGGCTGGCGGTGCAAGCCCACCAGCCACTCCTCAGAAGGAAGATTGGGCAGTCTACTTCTATAGTGATACTGCCTGGGAAACCCAAGGATGGTCGCTATGAGTTGAGTCCGACTAGAAAGCACATAACGACAACAACATCTCTACTGAAACAGATTGCCCAACCTTCCTTCTGAGGAGTGGCTGATGGGTTTGAACCGCCAGCCTTCTGGTTAGCAGTCAGGTGCCAGGCATCAGTGTGTCCTGGTGGAGCGGATGAGGGTTTGAGAGAGGGGGCTGGGAATAGCTCCATTTTGCTTGGTGGGAGGTGGGGTCCGAGTAGGGGCACAGGATCTGGGATTTGGGGAGAACTGTATGAGATGAGGGGCCCAGTGAGTACGTCACATGAGAAGAGGAAGGTGGAAAGTTGAAGTGTGGGTGAGGGAGGTGGGCTTGGGGAAGTGGGCAGGACAGAAACGCTGTAGGCCACAGGAGGGTCAGAGAGCCCCTGGGCCTGGGCCATTGATCCTCAAGATGGACTGCTGTGGGACACTTGGGGACACGCTCAGGAGAGGGGCACAGACCCCACAGTGCCCACTGTGATCTTCGGGGAAAGGGACTTCGGGGAAAGGGAGCCCTGCAACGTCTCCAGGCTGTTTGGGCACAGGTGCTGGGACAATCCAATGGAGAGCCTGGGGGAGGGGTAGTGGGCACCACTTGTCCTCCTGACCACCCCCACCCCACCCCCCAGCAAACACCAATGCTATTTGGCACCTGCGGCTGGCGTCCACCCCTGCCATGCAGGTCAGTGCTCCCACAGAACTCGAGCCAGCACCCCACGTGCGCGTCCAGTCCTGGGACAGAGCAGGGTTCACCTGCCGCCTGGCCTGGAAGGAGGCAGGGCCAGGAGGGGCGGGGCATGCTCTGCAGGCTTCGCCCCTTCTCTCCCCACCGCGTCCCCAGCCCTGACTTTGCGGCTGGGGAGGGTCGTGTCCCCCAGGAAGTGGCTACCCCGA